CGCGATTTACAGACTCGATCACAAGACGTAAAACCCTCTCAAAATAAAAAAGGTTATTCAAGAGTGTCTAGCTGCCCTGAAAACTCATAAAAGTATAACTCAGAACATATTGTAAAATAGAGTGAGATCTGGGTACGAGATTAGTCCGTTTCTTCACATAACCCCCCAACGTAAACCAGTAATAACGATGTCATTCTAGCCTGTTCACAGACCCTCTATTTTCTCGTCAAGTCCTTCGAACGTGCGTGATAAAAGATGATATCAACCGCGGGGGATTTATTGACCGCCAGCGCGCACAAGGAAGTATTTGTGCCCTCAACCTCCCCCAACCCGACTCCGCTCCCAACTTTTTGCGTGCCTCGTCCCCACCATCTGAGAGCCTGGAACAGACTATTTGCGTCATAAAGTGCGAAACAATGACGCAACAACACCAACTTTAAGCGCTTAGAACAGCGATGTATAAGCGCTATATAAATTCCATTATCATTATCATTATTAACTTATTAAATCGAGTATTCATTTTACACACCAAACAGAAATTATCTGATTATGGAAATCGCATTTTTATATCTTTAAATCATAACGTCGAAAATTAAAAGGCAGCAAGTGATCTACGAATAACTTGACTTTACATTTAAAACGACAAATTTAAAATGTTCGAACAAAAGCATCCTTTGTTGAATAAGTCTTTTTTGTCATGTAGGTCAATAACAAAGGAAGCTGATATGGACTGCAGGTTGGCACGTTTGTACAGGTGACGTAACGCGACATAATGCTATGTGTCCCTGTTTTAATACGAAGGCGATAATAAACTTAAGCAATATTTATTTGGAAAGGTTTTTATAAGCATCGTGAAATTCAGCGATGGCGCAATAAGGATAGCTCTATACAGACGTGAGTACTGTATTACCACAAAACGGCAAATACAAATCACGAGACATGTCACGCCTGTTTCCGCCAAGTGCCTAACAGTCTATCAAAAGCGAGGAACGAATGATTTCTTAGCGGTTCTATTTATGTCTGATGTACACAGACTGCCACTTAATTTCAGTCACTTATACTCAAATTTTAAAGTAGTGCTAGTGCTTTAACTAGGGCGTGACCTTTGGAGTTTCCGTTAATCAGTGCTATAAAGTCCATGTAATTAATCGCGTGACCTCAAAAGAATGCTTCTGACAAGGCTTTTTTCTAAGTGGCTTCATCGATTCGTTGCCAGTAGTTCTCACATAACATGTCAGCAGGACTGTTTTAATTGTGCCTTGCACGAAAGTTTTCTTAACCAGTGAATAAGACAAGATTTGGCAGATTTGAAGAAAAATAACCCAAATCATTGTGTGAACAAACAGAAGGAACAAGTTTGACGTAACATAAATAAAACGTGAAACAGAGCATACATGAGCATAAACTGCGAGAAACAACCAGTCGTAAATTGGTCGAAATTAAGGCTGAAAACCTCTGTTTCTCTTTACCTTTTGGACCGTTTCAAATACAACAGCTGATCAACAATGGTTAAGGACGACGGCTTAGATAGACGCTCGTTATCGATCACCCCACCGGCGAGTGTAAGCGTGCCTAGTAGCAGTGAGGCTCACGTGGCGACATGCAACGAAGATATTCCACTAACAACAACGCAAATGGCAGGAAAGCTGGATGGATCATATTATGGTAGATACTACCTCGATCCGAACGAAACAACTCCTTTGCTTTACTCCATGGAGACTGCCTCCGAGAAGAGTAGTTCAAGCGCTCAGAGACGTTACAGCATGAGTAGATCTAAAAGCTTTATAACTACTGACGAAGATAAATGCCGTGTCGTGACAATCGCGCGGCAGACATTCTGGTCGCGTCACTTGGCTTATTTCTTTGTCTTGTTAGCGTTCGCACGTATTGCGTGCCTATTGCAACTTTGAATCAAAACAAGCGATCCCGATTAAGCAGCGGCGAGGGAAAGCCGGATCTTGTCGTAGATCAGGATCAGCAATATAAAACAACACTTAAAATTGAAGGCAAGACTGATCGTACAGCTAAAGGTTACAAATTTATTTTCCCAATATTTCGACTAGACAAAACTAGTCTTCATTAGGGGCTAGAAAAGCTAAGTGAGAATAGAATAAACGGTTGCAGTATTTAAAATACTACAAAAGTAAAAAAGATAATGTGATTGGTGGAGGAATACAGTAGACGAAAACTTGTGTAAAGAGTTTGCATAAAAATATAATTAAGTCAATAGTTTAAATTTCATCTCGTCTGTTTATCCCGACCTGGGGTTCAATCGGAGAAGGGGCCCCTTCTCAGATTTTGACTGAGGGAAGGGGGTTATGTACACAGGCTACATTTTTGATGGCGTAAACTTCTTGACCTTGTCAACTCCCCTTCATCTCCAGTGATTTCACTCTTCTATAGTTACTGATAATGATCTCATTTCTCCTGATGACGTCACCCTCTAAGGTATTGTGACGTCAGCTGCTCCTTGTTCCTTAAACCTCGTTTTATCTCTACTGGGACAGGGAAGGCGAAAGGAAACGCCTGATGCTGACCGCAGACATTTTACCAAACGCTGTGCGTCAACAAACGATAAAAATGATTTATTACCATTGGTTAATAGTTTTCTTTCCTTCTTGGGACTGGAGAAACGTTTTGCCCAAATTCATAGAGCTTTGTATGAGGACACCATGCTTGTGTCCCTCTACCTATATTAAGAGCGGAAACCAATAGAAATCTCTGTCACTGTGTTTTGCTACGAGAGCTTGTCCAACTTATTCTGATATTAGGACCGTTCAGATAGCGAAATCTCACTTTTAAACCTGCACAACGGCTTGTCGTATTTCTCTTGACCCTCCTTCCATAACAGACATCAGAGAATGAGATACCTGGGCCGCCATTTACAGACTCGATCACAAGACGTAAAACCCTCTCAAAATAAAAAAACTTATTCAAGAGTGTCTAGCTGCCCTGAAAAATCATAAAAGTATAACTCAGGACATAGCCTTAAATGTCATCCGTTTCTTCACCTAACCCCCCAACGTAAACCAGTAATAGCGATGTCATTCTAGCCTGTTCACAGACCCTCTATTTTCTCGTGAAGTCCTTCGAGCGTGCGTGATAAAAGATGATATAAACTGCGGGGGATTTATTGACCGCCAGCGCGCGCAGGGGGGTGTTTATGCCCTCAACCTTCCCCAACCCGACTCCGCTCCCAACGTTTTGCGTGCCTCGTCCCCACCATCTGAGAGCCTGGAATCGCCTATTTGCGTCATAAAGTACGAAACAATGACGCAACAACACCAACTTTAAGCGCTTAGAATAGCGATGTACAAGCGCTATATAAATTCCAATGTTACTAGTAATAGTTGACACTACAGCTGCCCCCCTTCTGTATATTGTCGGTCAATAATATTCTTGCTGGATGTGTGGCTCTTTGAAATATACCGATTCATAATGAAGATTTTCACACATATTCCATACAACAGGTGAGATAACTACAGGAAACGCAAGGTTCCATGCACAGTTTCAGGTCGATTTACACAGCTTTGATCAAAACCGGCATTCTCAGTTTCGAGAATAGTTTATTCTAAACCATAAGAAAAGATTTAATTAGAGGTTGAATTTTTCGCTATTTCTCTTTCTCTTTTTACATTCAGTTCATTTTATTTGCCGGAAAGTAAGCCTTAGAAATTAAAAGGACGTTTGATCGATTCACGGTGGCGCATTCTAGTCTTATTTGAAATTTTATAACGGAAGGACATCTGTGAGCAGGGAATAAGTCAGCACAGAATTTGATTGTCGGCGAATTTCTGTAAATGTCCATCACAGTCTGCTAGTGATAAGCTAGCCGTTGTTCACTCGTCTTGCTTGTTTGGGGCTGAGTCTTATTCCGGTCAAAGAGAGAGAAAGGGTGTCTGGCAAGGTTTCCAATATAAATCAAAGATTTGTGAACTCGTGTCTGGCAAACTCTGCGAGTGTTTAAATATACACAGTTAAACGCACCTTATAACCTCCCCTGCGCTTAACGAGTGTCTTTTGGTCCATAACATAAACAACTGCTCCACAGAATGTCACTGCGTAACGCAAAAGAGTATCGAAGTGTGACTCCACAATAAATGTCACAAAATCTATCTGAGCGGTCCCTTCGGGATTTTCTGTCTTTACGTCATCCTAACCATTTCGTCTTTGCGGGCGCAAACAATAGAAACGTCATCTTACCTACCCTGCGTAGCAGGCGTTTGCGCCTGCCACGCAGGCTGTCATTACCTACCGATTCCTCACGGCCCCAGTTCGAGCAAATCGAGATTTTTTCTAGTATACTGACTGTATATTTGAACTGTAAGAACTGTCCTTAATATACGCGCAAGTTACTAGGGTGCCTCCTCGGGATTTCGCCTCTGGGCGGAATCCCTGCGGGGCCAATTATCAAACTTAACTTATTAAATCAAGTATTCATTTTACACACCAAACAGAAATTATCTGATTATGAAAATCACATTTTTATATCTTTAAATCATAACGTCGAAAATAAAGGCAGCAAGTGATCTACGAATAACTTGACTTTACATTAACGACAAATTGAAAATGTTCAGACAAAAGCATCCTTTGTTGAATAAGTCTTTTTTGTTACGTAGGTCAATAACAAAGGAAGCTGATGTGGACTGCTGGTTGGCACGTCTGTACAGGTGACGTAACGCGACATAATGCTATGTGTTCCTGTTTTAATACGAAGGCGATAATAAACTTAAGCAATATTTATTTGGAAAGGTTTTTATAAGCATCGTGAAATTCAGCGATGGCGCAATAAGGATTGCTCAATACAGACGTGAATACTGTGCTACCACAAAATGGCAAATACAAATCACGAGACATGTTACGCCTGTTTCCGCCAAGTGCCTAACAGTCTGTCAAAAGCGAGGAACGAATGATTTCTTAGCGGTTCTATTTATGTCTGATGTACACAGACTGCCACTTAATTTCAGTCACTTATACTCAAATCTTAAAGTAGTGCTAGTGCTTTAACTAGGGCGTGACCTTTGGAGTTTCCGTTTATCAGTGCTATAAAGTCCATGTAATTAATCGCGTGACCTCAAAAGAACGCTTCTGACAAGGCTTTTTTCTAAGTGGCTTTATCGATTCGTTGCCAGTAGTTCTCACATAACATGTCAGCAGGACTGTTTTAATTGTGCCTTGCACGAAAGTATTCTTAACCAGTGAATAAGACAAGATTCGACAGATTTGAAGAAAAATAACCCAAATCATTGTGTGAACAAACAGAAGGAACAAGTTTGACGTAACATAAATAAAACGTGAAACAGAGCATACATGAGCATAAACTGCGAGTAACAACCAGTCGTAAATTGGTCGAAATTAAGGCTGAAAACCTCTGTTTCTCTTTTCCTTTTGGACCGTTTCAAATACAACAGCTGAAAGCAAGTATCAACAATGGTTAAGGACGATGGCTTAGATAGACGCTCGTTATCGATCACCCCACCGGCGAGTGTAAGCGTGCCTAGTAGCAGTGAGGCTCACGTGGCGACATGCAACGAAGATATTCCACTAACAACAACGCAAATGGAAGGAAAGCTGGATGGATCATATTATGGTAGATACGACCTCGATCCGAACGAAACAACTCCTTTGCTTTACTCCATGGAGACTGCCTCCGAGAAGAGTAGTTCAAGCGCTCAGAGACGTTACAGCATGAGTAGATCTAAAAGCTTTATAACTACTGTAACTTCAAGCCAAACCTCCTTATTCATCGCATCCTTACAGATGTCGCTGCATTCTAGTCTGGCATTTAAACCGCGGTCTACAGTGAGTGGCTCCTTTCAACAACGATTGGTCACACTATCAATTCAAGAGAGCGATACGCCTAAAATTACAACTTTGGGAAAGGGGCCAGAAGAACGCCGTGTTCCAGCTATACTCGCCATGTGGCATGTTTTAAACGTGATAATTTCCAGCAACAGTGTTCTGGGTATGCCCTTCGCCATCGCATTAGGGGGCATTGCCGCCTTACCACTCATCCTACTGGTCGGATTTCTCGATGGCGTGACATCAGTTCTTTTGATCGATTGTCTTTACGAAATCACGCCGAAAGGTCAATCTCGCCAACGAGCAAGAGAGAGCTATGGCGATATTGGAGCGGCAGTTTGGGGGCCAATGGGAGGCCACGTTGTGGACCTAATACGAATATCTCTCTCTTATTGCAAATGCGTATTGAGGATTATGGTCTTAGGAAACACTCTGAAGGAGTTGCTGAGCGGCCAAGTGGATCTGTCCCTTCAGGAATGGTGTTTAGTGTGTACATCGGCGTTGCTGCTGGTTGTCTTCATCAAAAGCTTATCAGCCCTTGCCTGGCTTAGTATGATGGCAGTGCTAGCAGCTTTTATTATTTTCTTCCTTTTATTGGGCTTCTCATTAAGTAGGTACAAGGCATGGGAGTGGCAAAATATTCTCTTTTTTGATGTGAATAGATTCCCAATTAGCGTGGGTATCGTAATGTACTCATACTGCGGGCATACTGTTTTTCCAGCTGTAGAGGAATCCATGAGGAACCCCAAAAAATACAATACCATTTCCCATTGGGCGTTTTCCATATCAACAGCCATGAAATTTTTGGTGGGCCTTTTTTGTGTTCTCACATTTGGTAGCGAAACCCAGTCAATTGTCCTTTTAAATCTCAGTGAATCAAATGCTTCCATATTAAGTACAGTAGCATCTATTCTAGTAATAATAAACATGTACTTTTCCTACCCTGTAAACATGTTTGTTGTTGGTGGGACTGTGGATATCCTACTCTTACCAAAGTTCCCCAAGTGCTTAAAACAATACAGTCTCCTGTGGTTTATGTTCACTAGGGTCATCCTGGTATATTCCACCCTGGGTATCGCATTAGCGCTGCCACGTTTTGGGCTCCTTATGAGTGTGATTGGCAGTTTGCTGGGTGTATGCATAACTTTTATTTTCCCCTGCGTGTTCCATTTGAAACTTAAGGGGAAAAGTCTAAGCTGGTATCACATTGCTTCTGAAGTTTTCATTATACTATTTGGGGTAGTATTTGGTGTCTTGGGTGTTGCTTTCTCTTGCATTGCTCTCAACAAAACACTGTAGGGCTAAATGGCATTTTTTTTAATAAAGGTACATAACTCAGGTGTTTACAAAACCTGGATACCCAGTGGGGGGGGAGGGTACTGCCATACGTATAGTTTACTCTGGGATGGGGTATATAAATCAGAGAGTTTGGGTCTAAAAGCATAGGATATCATTTTTCCAGGAAACTGATCAATTATTGGTTGAAGATTTTAGTCTAGACTGGGGAAACCGGGAATTGCCACTCAAAAATCAAATGGGCTTTGTTTTGGCTGGACTGTTCTAGTGACCTCAGTAGTTTATGGAAAACAGGTACCCTAGGATATGGGGTATTTGGGGAGTTTAGTCTAGTATAGGGTAGCAAAATTTACTTGAACTGGGTTCGGTCTAGGCTAAAAAAATTCCTAAAGTACCCTCCCGCCAGACCTGGATAGACCCGGCTTGGATCAACCCACTGTATTCCACTAGCCTGGTCCAGGCTTTCAGATAATGGAGTATGGCAAGAAGTTGGAGAGAACGGGAAGAAAATAAGGAGAGAGGGGTGGGGGGGGGGAGAGGAGAGGAGGGTTCCTTCTTTGTCACCCCCTACCCCACCCCTTTTTTTTTTTCTGCTCACTTCTCCTTGCACTGTCCACTCTATCTGAATGTCTGGAAAAGGTTAGTATTCAGCCAAATAACAAAAGGTTGGGTATACTGTTTCAGGGGTTTATCTGATTCATTCAGATCAACGTTTTTTGAATGTCCAGAAAAACCTATGGTAACATAACTTGTCATTTCCCCATGATGTATGACAGAATAATTTACTTGCATCATGGCAAACACAATCTTGGTCTAGTATCAAAAACAGCACGAATCTCAGTGCACATTTCTGGCCAAGAACCATATAGTGTATAATAATTATTATGACTTTGAACTCTTTCCTGAATAATAATTACACACTTGTACATTGTAGGGGCAGAATATGTCAAGATGCAAATATAAATTCTTACAGGGTAGCAAGTGGACACTAAGTAGACAAAAGTACAGCTTCCTTAAATTGAAAAGTAGCTTTTGATCTGAACATGCAAAGCAGGTGACAATTTGTTGATTCAAGGCTCAATCCTGTTAGGGGATCTTTTTAAGAGTGTGAGTTTTTGCTGTAAACATAACATTTTTTTTTTCAATACATAAAGGGAATTAGACCCAAATTATTACTGTTGACATTGATTATTTGCATATCAAATTAAATGTGAATATGAATTTTATTGTATTATATTTTTGTATTATAATATGATATGATACTATTGTATTATGATATTATTGTATTGTGGTATTGTTTTATGATAGCTTGGTCACATAAGATACGAAATGTCTGTTTCTTGTCAAAGAGGGCG